GAGGGGGGAGAATGGAGCAGGGGCGGGGACTAGGCTAGGGATGCTTGAGTGACTGGATCGATCTTCCCGATGGCTGGCACACAGAGAAATAGGTCGGACCCAACGGCTGGGGAGTCGGACGGGCGTGTCCGGGCTCGGCTGATCTAAAGCAGGTCACGTCATTTGGACATATTTAAATTGCCATTTTCTGCCTCCCGACGCCTTTTGGAGCTGCGTGGGGGCCAGAGTGGCATGCCACAATACCCTGAAGAGGACCCTGAGAGGGGCTCCCTTTGGTCCGTTGCGCAAGCCAGACCCGAGACGCTCGCGTCCGCCTGGGGGAGGGTTCCCTTGGAGGGGTTGAGGGCAGACAGCTGGGGAGTTCATCGGAGGCGGCCGCGTAACGGGGCCCATATGTGCCTCGTGGCGCGGACGTACGAAGGGCCAGTCCCATGGCTGGCTGCAGGGGCCTACCGACGCCCCGGGCCTGGTCGCCCGCCCAGACTCTCCCCGAGGGGTGTTCTTTTCGGACGAGGGGCCAGGGTCAGGGTTTTCCCGGATGTCCCGGGGAGCCCCGCCCCCTCGGGACAGCTGGTGTCTAGGGTTATCTACCCTGCACACTGGCGAACAGTCCTGGCTGTACGTCCATGGGTGTTCGGGGCGCTGCGCCAGGGTGGCCCGCCGTCTCCCGGGTTCCCCCGAGACGCGCTCTTCTGAAGGAGGGGGGGGGGGGGAGGCCGCGTGTGTTCTGCGGCTGGGGTGGGCTTGGGGGCGGAATCGCGGCACTGCCGAGGCCTCTTGCGTCAACAGGGCCCCCCGGCTTGTGTTGTACCCGGGTGCTGCTGGCGAGTGATACTCTCGTGCCTTGGGCGCCCGACTTTGGGGCCCGCACGGGGAAGGGGGGGTCCCAGGGGTGGCCTTGCGGGCCGTGGCGGCGGGCCTTGGGGGAGTCCAGAGCATCCCCGGATGGGGCCCCACTCGACGGCTGTGTGCGTGTGTGTGCCAGGGGGGGGGGGGGGGGGGGAGGGCGGGCACCGGCGCGCCAGGGCCCCGGGTCTGTGGGGGCGGGGGCGAGGAGCATGCACAGGGTGCCCGAGCGTGGGAAGCGCCCGGTCGGCCCAGCGTGGCTCCCGGCGCCCTCGGTCCCCTGCGGGGGGGGGGGGTGCCCTCCCCTGGCGCGGCGGGGTCTGTTTGGGGACGCGCGCGAGTCCCCTGTCCGTTCACGGAGGAAATGGCTGGCGGGCATTCCCCCCGCCGCGGCCGGGCACGGTTAGCGCGCGCGCGTTGGGCCCGCACGGGACCCAGGAGGCAGCCCAGAGGGCCGGCAAACAATAACACCAGTCCGGGCGGCCGCACACGAACCTTGGGTGTGTCCCGCCGGGCCCGATCCTGCCGGTGGGGCATTTCCCAAGGGCTCGGGCACCCGCGGGCCGGCCTAGCCACACGGGGCCTTGTCCATTCCTGACAGGGGGGCGATCGGGCGCACGGGGAGCGAGAAATTCTGGAAGCTGGTCGCGCGCGCTCTGCTCCCGCCCCCCCGGGGGGGGGGGGGGGCGGTGGGCGGGCAAGGCCCGCACGCCGAGAAGCCGCCGACGACCGGAGGCTGCGCCGTTGGGCCGGCTGACTCCTCAAGCGGGCAACCCGGCATGGCGAGGGCCCGGTCGCATCAGTGGTCCCATCTGGGCCGCGAAGGCCTCCTATCCCCCCAGGGGGGGGGGGGGGGGCCGGTGGGAACGGCCCTGGGCCTCTCTTGTGCCGGCGGGGCCCCAGATTCTGGTGACTCGGCCGAAAAAAGACCCCACTCATCCGCGCGATCACCACGCAGTCGGGCGGGCGGGCGGACGGGCG